GAAGCAAATCCAAATGAGTCCATCAAAACAGAACCGTTCTCCAGCGCAATGGTGAGACAGGCAGGACTGAGCCAGCCTGCACGGCTGTCTCCGAGCTGGATGGAGGGTGGGAGTGCTGTTGAGGCCAATTATTCTGGAGAGCAGAGCAGCCTTCAAGGTAGAGGAAGTGGGGTAGAGAAAGGAGAGAATTTATTCTGAGAAGCAAACAAAGTGAGGGGAGCACTCCTAGGTGCTTAGTCACACTTGCTGGGCAGAAGGACCAAAGATTTATTCCCGATCCATGGACAGCAGCCCAGCGCATGGTGAAGATACTGCTTTAATGAAGCTATAAGTTGTTTTCTGAATTTTAAAAGCTACTGTTCCGGCTCTCCAATTTGTGGCTGGAGTATGTGTGTGGGAGGGGGGTGCAGGTGAGAGAGGACTGGGAATGTGACACTGTGTTATCCATGGCACCAGCTGGTCCTGTGTGGGGCACCCTAAGGGAGGTGGTGGCCCAGGGGCTCACAGACTGCCCTGATTTAAGCTCTCTGAGGAAACAGGGCAGTTTACACCCAGGATTTTAGTGCATCTTTGCATTGAGTCTTGTGACCCAAGGATACAAGGAGCTCTAGTCCTAAGCATAAACATGGCCCCAGGCCACTCAGACGTGAAGACTCTACCATTGTCACTTCACCCTGCACCCCACACTCCAAGCCCTGCTCCAGCCTCTGGTTTCCCTCTGCGCATCACCCCAGGCTGGCCTTTTAGCCACCTAACCCTGGGCTGGCGATTATCCTTGTCAGGGAAGCGCCTGAGCCAATTAGGGAGGCAGGCAGAGTGGCCCCTGGGCCTGGGACAGAGCCTGGCTCTAAGAGCTCTTCCCGCAGGAAAGTGGTCATCTTAATTGGCACCCCCACACACTGCTGTGAGTCTCGTGGTGCATCCGGCAAGTTTGCCAAGGCCACAAGCTAAGGTATCTGATTGGATTTTAAAAATAAGGGAGAGACACTGGGCATGTGGAGATACAAGATGGATGAGCAAGTGAGTAACAGATAACAAAATCCTCCAGTCCTTCTGTGATGGCTATGGAGATACAAAGTTCACCTGTTGGACAAAGGAGACTGTGCAGATGAGATAATCGCTGGCAGAATCTCCAGTCATCCTAAGAAAGTGTGATCACTTAGAGATCTTCTAGGTAGACCTGGGGACCCATGTATATACTGTATTTCTTTTGGGGCAGTCCTAATATCTTGTTTCTTTTCACAAAACTCAAGAAACATTTTTTCCTTCTGCCCCTCAAACTTTAGCATCATCCCCTTTTCAGCTGTTTTCAACATTCCTATATTTACTTCTCAGATTCATTTAGGCCTTTAAAGCGCACTCGGCAGGAGGAAAACATACTCAATATTGGCCTGGGTTGAAAAGTTCTAATCTTTTAATGCCATTCACTGAGATTTATTTCATTATAAATGTATAAGAGGAGGGAGAAGGTGAAAAGTCTTAAAGGAAGAATGGCCTGGAACCCAGCTCTTTCATTTTTTTTCTTCCTTTTTTTAAACAACATTTTCATTAAATACAACATTCAGAACTGTAACTTTGAGGATGTTTTCTCACCAAGGACTGCGGCCTGCCTGGGGAGCAGGTGATGGGCGTGCTGGATAGTATGGAACTATGGATGTCTCAAATGAAAGTTTCAAAAGCAATGACTGGAAATAAAAAAAAAAAAAATTCAGACCTATTCCACCCAGGCGCCCTAAATAAATAGCCCAGTTTGCAAATTCCTATCAATTATTACATGATGGGAAAAAATCCTATCTGAAAATAAAGCACGTGGACGTGGAGAATTTTAATTAAATCTTACTGTGGATATAATAACATGGAAGTGATTTTTCATTCGGCGCTTGCCTGCTCACCAGTGTTTTATGGCGTCTTCTTGCCTCTGACTTTATTTTAAAATATTAGACGAGGTGGAGAATTATAAACGACTCTTTCCTTATCTGCGCTGCTCACATATCCAGGATCAGAGGAGCTGATTAAGAAAGAAGTCAGAGGCAACGCTGGATTCATAATGATTTGGAATAATGAATCCTTATCTCTGCTTTCCAGATTATCTGCCTTTCAGCGCCCAATGTTTTGTTACATGGGATAATTTATTGCATCTAATACATCACAATGAATCTGATGGTGGAAAGTGATGGCCAACGTTGTGAAAAGGGGGCCCTTATTTTTTATCCTGGGGCAATGAAACTGCTTTTTGCAGTTTTTAATTGGGAAAATATAAGGTAGATCTGATAAAAAAAAAAGCGCTGGGTATAATCTTGCCTGCTCCTGCTTTACCAGCCTGCTGTTTAATTAGTGTGTCAATTTCAGGCTGAAATTAACAAGATCGACCTGAAAGTAGCTCTTAGTTTTCTACCCAGTGCAGAGATCCTAATTTTTTAACATGATTTATTTTTATGAAAAAGGAGATAATTAATCATAAACACTCACTAAAGCACAGGGCCAAGTTCAGATAAAATGCTATTTGCATCTTTATATAGAACGATACCAATAATGTTAATTTTTCTGCGATTTCTTTCTCCTCACCATCTCTCCCATCCCCACAGTGACAACACCCATTTCAGTCTCCCCTCCAGTCTCATTCCAAGTAAACAAGAAAAAAAAAAAAAAATATATATATATATATATATATATATATATATAAATTCTAAGTTCCTCTGGATATTCGGCTTTCCTGGCTTTGAATATGCAGGGGTTTAATTTTTTTAGAGAACTAGGGTGGGGGAGTTCTCCCAGCTCCCCTTCCCTCATCCCGATCAACTTCCTTCCATTTTAGAGTTAAAGAGGACACACATCTCATTTAATGGCTAATTAGTTCCAATAATTGGCATTTTTGTTTCTTTTGTCTTTCGTCCTAATGCCAAAAGAACAAAAGCCATCTAAACGCAACAGGCTTTTCTCGCCTTTTACAGGAAAGATTTCAGAATCCTAGACTCAACCCGCAGTCCCCTCCCAGCAGTTCACACTAGCAACGTCCAGGTTTCGGGAGTAGAGGGGCAGGAGTAGCTGATAATTCCCTCTGTAAGCTTTTTGTGCCTGTTGATTACTTTCTGGTTGCTTGGATTAAATAATCGTTGCAAATATGCAAACCAGTGAGAGCAAATTCATACATATTCGCTCTCCAATTGTTCCTCCTGACGTCAGATCATGATTTCTTAGTAATTGGACGGCTTGTACCCGAATACTGCTTGTCTGAACTTCTCCACATTTTTCTAGGTTGCAGTACATTTTTGTATAGAAAGGTAGGAAGAGGACTTGGCTATTTATGTTCTAAAATTATTTTCTGTTCACTGTAGTTCCTATTACCCTCCTTCTGTCCTCCACTTAACAATTAAGTTTATTTCTTGAAACATGAGAATCTCAAGTTTGTTTCCTGAGATCAAAATTTCTCTGGCAGTTCTTGAGTAGACAACAGTGTGGACGGACAGGGGCAGGTAAGGATGGAGGCAATGGGGGGCCATAGGGGTAGAGCAGGATGAGGTTCTACAGAGACATTTTTCCCTCTGCTTAGATCTGCCAAAGAGCCCTGCAGTGGTCACCCCTGCCCATCCTGTATGGGTAACACCAAGGTTCCCATCTATCCCAAGTTCAAGTTTCAGTTCCTGAGCTTGTCCCACACTCTTGAGCAAAGATTTCTTTAATACTTTGAATTCTGATTGTTAAGGTGCACCGGGTTTTAGGTGCTGGTAAGGGGAGACATCTAATTTTCTGAGCTATGTTCTGTTTGTCTTTCAGTTCACTTTGGCCTTCTTAAGGTGGACTTCAAACTTCTAGAGCCAATTCTGAATTCAGTATTGAATCCTGTCCCTCCTTTTTGCTTTTCTCCTTTCTTCTGTTTCCTCTCTTCACAACACATCATTCCAAGAATTTCAAGTATCAATTATAAGTAATATTAATTTCTCGGCCCCAACCAGTGAGGTAAAGATGACCTGATAGGCGCAGAAGAACAGGGCTTCCCCTGATGAGACAGACCAGCGGAGCTGACTGGGCCGATTCCCATGCCCAGATGAACATTCAATTTTCCGGCATTATCTCCACACTTAAACTCGCTTTCTCCATTTCTGTGCCAAGATAAATTTGCATAATATTTGCAGCTGTAATTAGCTGATGAGCATCTCCCAGATTCCCCCTTTTGTTCCCCATGCATTTGGTCTTCCATTGATGCCACGTTTGATCTTTAATATCACAGGATTCCCGATAGAGGATTGCATATCTTATCTCCCCTGCTCCAAAATCTTTTAAAAAGGAGGGAGTCAGGGAAGGAGGGGGGCGTAGGGGGAAATCGTGAGTGAGGAGAATGAAGGTTCCACTAATCAGAGTTTGAAAAGGTTACACTGGAAGAAGGTGTAGGTAATGACAGGACAGTGAGACGAATGGGATTTAGGGGTGGGGAGAAGCTGGTGCTGCTTCGCGGAGTCGGGGAGTCTTGCGGCGGCGTTATTGGGTAGAACGCCCGGAGTGGGGCTCAGGGGAGACTGGCCAAAGAGCTGGAGGGGGCCGCGGTGTGGGGAGTTGGGGAGTCACCGTCTCAAGTGGAACCTTGTGCCCTTTCTGGAGGGGCGGTAATTTCTCCTAAGACTTCTCTGTCCTTTTCCTTTAGCAGAAACTGGGACTTCAAACCAGGTGACTGACTCCCTTATCGCGCCATCTGTTTGTCTCCAGCTCATAGACAGCGCAGCTCTCCTGAATGACCAATATGCTGCTGATATTGGTACCCCCAGTACCGTTTAAAAGAAATAAAAGACCCCACCAAAAAAAAAGGAAAAATGATACAAGGGGACCAAGACCATGACCATGATATGGTGAGTCGCTAGCAGAGGAATCATGTCCCCTTCAGGAGTAGAAAAACCCAGAGTAGTTCCCGCTCCCCACCCACCCCCGGGCCGGGCATCATCCTGGTTAGTTACGATTCTTTTCCTCCAAAATAGGAGTTTTCTGACTCGATGTCTAAGTTAGTCGCAGGAGAGAAGGTGGTCTGGAAGCACTGCTGGTTGGATCGGTATTCGTGGGAATCCGGAGGGAGAAGAGCGAGAAAGGAAAGAAGGAGCAGGAGGAAAACAGAAGACAAGAAAGAGTCGATTTTCATGCCAATCATTGGAACAAATAGCTAACATTTAACGTTTACACCCGCGCTGGCGGCGCCCTGGCGCTGCTCGGACCTGGAGCCGGGCTAAAATGTCCCGAAAGCCTTTGGAGAGAACGAGTTTCCAGCTATCAGGTTCTCCCCATCTCCCCCTTTCACGAGGCTTCGGTTTCAGGCTGGACTCGTCCAATGCCCGCGTTACCGCTGCGAGCTCCTAAATGAGTGTCAAGCAGGCAAATATCAAATAGCGCCGGGGTCAAGGCGATTGAGTTAACCATTGGGGCGCTTGGGACTTGGGACTTGTGGAGGCTCCGCGGGGAGGGGGCGCGGCGGGCCGCGGCGGGCGGGCGGCGG